AGGCCGTTAGCCTACGGGACCGTTTATCACTCGTGTTTGCGCACTCCCTTGAGTGACGCAGAGTTCACCCTTGCCTATATTCCTTATTTTAAAGGGCTTTTTACGGCTTTATGTATTTGACAACCCAAACTCGGTACCCACACCCACAAGCAGACTCGTTACTTAAGAATTCTTTAAAAATAATTTCTCTCATTCTGTATTTTCCCTCATTTTTAACCTTTTTTTGCCGACCGGAAGTTGGACGTTGACAGTCCTGTTCACAGCCTCATGGCGTCAAACACTTGTTTTTCTGGTGTTTTTAACCACCCTGCCAGTCAGTCCTTCTTCCCCTGTCATCCGTTAGTGTGGGTAACAGTGGGCAATAGCCTGTCAACTTCCAGCTTTGCGCGACCAAGTCTAAAAAATGGAAGGCGGTCAGGGTGTCTTCGTTTCTTAAGCTACTTTGTTTTGTTGCATCAGACTATGACTATGCAGCGAGCAGTGGTATTACTATTTATTTTTGAACACTGTGAAATGTTGGGCTTGGTATGAAGTGGAAGCTTCGGTGCAGTAAATATGCGGGCTTTGTGGGAAAAAAACATTTTGTGACTCTTTGGAGTGAAAAAGGCAATATTTTTGCATACTTTCACAATTTTCGTTGCAAATAATCTGAAAGGCTTTCACGGTTTTAAGTGAAACGCATGCTGAAGAACAGTGTAGCGTGAAAAAACAGCAAGACTACAAAAATATTTATTAACGAGAAAACGTTCGTCTAAGTTGAGGGGGGACTTTTAAAATACGTAGATAGACAGAGGAAAATACTGGAAAACATTAAGGATTAATTTCTGTAAAGATACTCTAGTAGTAAATTGCTTTCCAGTAACAAGTCACTAGAAAGCCAGAGTTATTTGTGTAACTGTAAAAATACCCGAACTGATTCCCGTTAATAGTTCTCGTTTGCTCGGATGAATCCAGACCCCGAAAGATATATCTAAGAAGCTACTCCTATTTAATTTGGCGCCCGAATAAAATGGATTTAGGCCCAGGAACGTGACTTTGGACGGTCCGCAGCAAGTGGTAGCGAAATCAAAACAAACACTAACACCAGTCAAAGTTGGTTGTTGTGATATTTTAGTGTACTCAAACAAGAGTGCGGTGAACTTTAAGTAGACAAGGATGGTGAAGGTAGAAATTTAAAACTTACATTGGGCCACAACAGTCCTGCCTACTTATTTACTGTTCGATCTGTTAATGGCGCAACAAAGATGCTAGAGACCAATTTGTTCTATTCCAGTGGACTGTCGTGAGGGCGACATCCGTTGTGGAAGCGGCGAATGCATCCGCCCTCAACAGAAGTGCGATGGTCGGCGCGATTGCAGAGACGGCTCCGATGAGATGAACTGCGGTGAGTGGATTTTTGATGATTTAAAACGAATCAGGAATACCACTTTAGAGAAATATGCGATGTATTATTCATCAGCAGATTGACGTAAAACTTCTTGTTCCCGCTGGCTCATGAGGCTATATATTAACAGGGATTAGCTTGGCAGCAATGGGACAGCGATGGCTTTGCGACTGTGTTTCACATTTGAAGGTGTACGTGTGCGGTTAGTATGTCGACAATAAATAGCTTTCCTTCTTTTTAATTAGTAAGTCCGGTTCAGTTAATTAATATTCCCGTCTTTCTCACAAAAACTGGACTTTACGGTGGGGAGGTAAGTTTGCATCCGTACAGCACACCAACGCTAGTTCAGACCATTGGAGGGACAGGCCCAGATCTGCCACACCAGGGTGGTTTCCCACTACAAATTTGCTCACTTTGAACTAAAAATAGGGTGCTTAATAGCTCATTCGCTTAGGGTAAAAAGTGAGTCGTAAGTCATTTACAGTGTATGTTTCTCCGTATATGTCCAACTTATTGAACATATTTCGCGTTTCATACCATCCATCCAAATATTTTTCAATAAGTAGCCTCATCATAATGTTTTAAACTGAAACAAACCTTCACGAATTTTTCACTTATCCAATATTTTAATTGATGTTAAAAGCTACATCAAATTATGTTTGCGCCCGTTGGTTCCATTTACTGTATAATAGAACAACGTGTATATGGCACGTGCAGATGAGAGTATTAGCTAGGTCAGTTACTGCACCCATTTCTCGAGGCAGACAAAGGAAAGGGAAAGAGGGGGACCGACGTCTCAGAGAATGTTCCTCACTACCAACAGACTGGTGTGCTTGGACCTATCGTGGTGTGCTTAAAGTCCTAGATTGGAAGGGTGCCAATTTACGGGATAACTCGGGCCTAGAAGTCAGCCTAGTGTGTACTTGTGCTGAAGGGCCGACTGGTGGGATGGACAGACCGACTAAAATGACTCCTTCTTAATGTAGCCTCTATGGCACTCCCAATCCACGAGATCGGAGCCAGGTGTGGCGGCACGCTCAAGGGCGGCTCCAGCCGCATCAGAGGACTTCGCCTTTTCCCTTCTCCGGTCTTTTTGACCTGGTGATGATACTGGGCCGGAGGATGTGGAGGAGTAGAGAGTGCGGTAGATGCAGTGAAAGTCTACTCTCATTATAATCTGATTCACATGCAAGTCACTGTCCCTGCGCCCATCCCGGTTAGTTTCAAGGGGAACATCAGCTGAACTGACGATTGAACTGTCATAGCAGAACCCTTTTCTGACCTTTTTCCCTAAACTGTTGCATTCAGATCTTGTAGTGCCTCATTCAAATGAATATCTTAGAGCTTATTTTTCTGAACTTATAGTCACCGATGTGCGAATGGTTGAGTTGAACTTCTTGGATGCTTCCTATCTAAGCCCGCTTGATCTTACCCACCCTTTTTCTATGCAGTAAAATGCTTTGACGGTGATTTCCACTGTCAATCAGGCGAATGCATTCGACCCTACCAACAGTGTGATGGTCGCCGAGATTGTCGAGACGGATCAGATGAAATGAACTGTGGTACGTTTGCTTAAGTTCACGTAACTTCTATCTAGTATGCGCACATATTCTATAGCCAACTCCCCTTGACTGCCTTACTGAAGACTCTGGTAGTAAGACCTCACATCGAGTTTAGCCAGAGACGTATTTCAGTTCAGTAATGTGGCCGTCGTCATAGTACCTTAACGTTTTTATATACAGAAGTGTAACTATTACAAAAGTATTCGGATATTAGTAAGGGATCACAATTGGACCAACGTCGCGTGACACCCAAACAAGCGGTCGGGGGTATGAATTCGTATCTAGTTATCACAGTTTAGCATCAGGATCTCCACTCAAAGCTCTGTAGGCGACTTGACAAGGAATGCTTGTATGACTCCCTTAACGAACATAATCCATAGATAAGCGTGTAATAAGGACCCAGTGGCAATGTGAGTGGGACAGGAAAACTGCGATGCCGCGTTGTGAATGAAAGGGAATTTTTCTGGCCACCTTCAGCGTTCAAGTGAGCTGGTTTCTTAGCGCTGAATTAGATCGTACTACACGCCCACCTGACCCTAACGCTGGCTTTAGCCCTTACCATAACTCTCTCCGTTTTTTCATCAGGGTTGGCATTCGTTACCGGAGTAGTAGGATTGTACACGCACTCGTTGCCAGAAACTTCATTATATTTTTAGGAAGTCACTTTATTCAAATAACTATGGTCCCACCCCTTCGAACGCTCAAGCATACCTTTCGAACAACTAATAAAGACATCGAGGTCGCTGTCTTTTCCTGAATTACAGGATAAGAGGAGCGTATAGGTTGGGTTGATAGGGGTGCTTTTCACTTTATAGTGGAACCTCGGTTAACGAGTTTAACCCGTTCCAGCATCGAGCTTGTCACGCGAAGCGCAGCCAACCAAACTGCATCAGTTCACTGATTGGCTGCAGGCGACTGGGGATCCACACCCTGGGAGCAGGACTCAGCGGCGGACACAGGCACAAACACGCACTGACAGCTCTTTAACTGAGCGAAAGTTCCTCAATCGACACCAATTTTCTGTGAGTGGCT